CCCTTCGGGCAGCTTTCGGAGGCACGGCCCCGGGCAGGATGACCCACGGTGAGCTCTGTGTCCTGGGTGGGCACACTGCCTGGTCTCCCCTGCCGGGGAGCAGCCTGATCCTCCCCAGTCCTCCCGCGGCCTTGAAGCTTCACAGGTCTATCTGAGCCCTGGGATGAGCAGGTACCCCTGACAGCCCTGGGCTGCCCCCGATGGCCCTCCCACAGCCCCCCTTGGGGAGGGAGGAGGTGAGGGACAGCTCGGGAGACTTGGTCTCGAGAAACCTCAGAAAGGGGGACAAGGCAGGGGCGCCAGGAGCCGCCAGGAGCAAGCCCCACTTGGTCACCTGCAGGGACAGACTGGAGACACACTTGGAAGACTCTCAGAGAGCGAGAAGAACGGGTTTGAGACAGGTCATCGGGCCACAGCCCAGCCACCCAGGCTGGCCCTGTGCCTGGGGCAGGTCCACGTGAGGCTGTCTCCATAGCAGGAGCTGGGTCTGCCCTGTGACTCAGGAAGTGCTAGAACCCACCGGTCTCTGTATGAACACTGAGAGGAAACCGAGAACCACGCTCTGCTCATCACAGGCTTGCCGGCAGCAGGACCACACTTGCAGTTTGCCAGGGGCAGAAAGTAAAGGTGTGCTGCAGTTGCCTTAACTGCCCCTAGTTCCAGAAGCCTGAAGGCTGAGCTCCTTTAAAGGAGTTGTCAGAAACACAGCCCTTCCCGACCCCTCCTACCTTTTGCAAGAGTCTGAGTGTCAGGCGAGCCATGTGGTCGGCCGACGTGTCTGCCATGACCGAGACCCTGTGAGACACTTTCTGCAGGGCCGCAATCCTCCCTCGTCCTCAGTTATCTGCAGAAAAGAACCTCTCAGCAAGTGGGGCCACTGAACCCCGTGGTCCTGGCAGGACCCGCAGCAGCTCTCAGTTGGTTTACCTCCTGGGGCTGCGTGGGGGGCTGCGCTGGACCGGCCACCACATCCTGCTCCCTCTCAGACCCAAGTGCCTGGTGAGCCAGCACCATCTGTGCCTGGGCAGTTGCTAGACACCCCAGGACCGGGAGGGGCAGCCCCAGTTACCAGGTTTCCACTGAGAGCCCTCGCCCAGCCTGTTGCCAAGCGGCGTTACCTGTAAACACTGATCCCCAGGTGTGGCGGGGCCAGGGCTCCTTGGAAAAGGAGCAGTGGGCAGCAGCTGGGGCTGGAGGGACAGGGACGTGTGTGTGTGTGTGCATGTGCATGCATCTAAGGGAGAGTGAGGGACAGTCCTGTGCTGTGTTTCCCAAGCACCACCTCGTCACTCCCCCTACCCCAGCCCAGGACCGTCCGAGCAGCACAGGGCGCAGCCTGAGAGCTGCGAGGACTGGATAGGGGTACCAACCCTCAGGTTTCAGGAAATCCTGGGCTGCAGAAGGGCCCAGGCCGAGGCGCTGCCTGGGAAGGCTGGGGTCAGGGGAGGACGAGGTCCTAATTTTCCCCACTGCACTGGGCACCTTTTAATGGATCATCTTACCCCTCCTTCATTCCGTCTGCAGCCATCTCCACACTGGAACACAAGCTCGGCATTGTCGCTGCCATGGCACCCCTGCACAGAGGCCCCCTCCTGCCTCTGTGCCATCTCACCCCACTTCGCGGCCTCCCAGACCGCAGCAGAGGCGGGTTTCATGGTGTTCACACCGTTTCACGAGGGGACATTGAGGCACAGCGGCTCGGTGCTTTCCCACCGCTTCCCGGGTCCACGCCTCCCCCGTCCTCGCGGTTCGTGTCTGCTCCGACACGGCGGGTTCTCCTGTGTCCGCGGTAGTGGTGTCTGCACTGTGTTTCCTCATCCCGCCCCTGATAATGTGGTGCTGTCTGCTTCCAGACCCTGCCCGGGCTTCTTTCACGCTCCTTCAATAGTAAATGGGATGCCGCAGCTTGACAAGAGACGACAGAATGCACGTAGGAATACTGAGCCCGCTTAGGCCAGTGACACGTGAGGACAGGCGAGAGCACACGAGAACATACTCTTGGCCCGTGTGGGCGTTGCTGCCTCGTGTGCCCATAGGCCCCAGGAATAGGCTCCCCAGCACATTCATCCTGCAAGTGGCCCGAGGCAAAGGTGAGAGTGCTTTGGGTTGATGTCACTGTATCAGACTCTGGTGGTTAATTTCCTGTGTCCACTTGGCCAGACGGTGGTGCCCCGTTGTTTGGTCCAACAGTAGTCTAGGTGTTGCTGTGAAGGCGTTTGTGTGATTAACTTTTAAATCAGTTCACCTGACGTAAAGCAGATCACCCTCCCCCCCCCCCACAATGTTGGCGGGCCTCATCCAGTTGAAGGCTGTTAAGAGTCTGTAACACAAACCTCCTGCTGGAGTTCCCAGCCTGCCTCCTGACCTACTGATTTTAGACTTTCCAGCCCCGTAATCATGTGAGCCAACTGCTTAAAATCAATCTTTCTCTCTATATATATACATATATATATAGAAAACCAAACCCCTTGCCATCAAGTCGATTCTGGCTCATAGAGTCTGCATAGGTCAGAGTAGAACTGCCCGAAAGGGTTTCCAAGGAGCTGCTGGTAGATTTGAACTGCCAACCTTTTAGGTTAGCAGCTGAGCTCTTAACCACCGTGCTACCAGGGCTCCAAATACCTTATTGGTTTTGTTTCTCTGGAAAACCCTAAAGACACAGGTTATCAGCTTTCAACGAGTTTGAACGACACCGGAAGCAGCTGGCTGCTGATCGAAACAGTGCGTGCTGAATAACACCCTCCCGTGCGGCCTTATCTGGCACGCAGGCTACAGCGAAGTTCAGAGGGAAGCAAAGTAAGACACATAAACAAGGACTTCACGAGACTTCAGATTCCCATTGAGGCCGTGGCACGTTTCTTCGTACTCATAACCAAGGTCACGTTCCTTTTTTTTAAACTACACTTTATTTTTCAGAGTAGTTTTAGGTTTACAGAAAAATTATGCAGAAATTACAGTTTCCTATACCTCTTCTCCCAGCACACAGCCTCTCCTATTATTAACATCTTTCATTCTGTGTGGTATACGTTACAAATGATGAATCAGTGTTGATATACTGTTATTAACTGAAGTTATAATACACCAGGGATTAGATTAGGATTCACTTGTGTTTAGTCCTGTGGATTTTGACAAATGCTTAATGTCACGTGTCTGCCATTAGTCACTTTTCTTTTTAAAGACAGTTTACACTTGGAATAATTTTACCCAAACATTTCCAAGTCTTAATCCTTTTCCACTTGAGAAGAGATGGTTTTTGCCTTCCACAATTGCCCTTCCTCTGGTGTCTAGAACTGGGTACAACTGCTACGCCATTTACAAGGGCATCCTCAAAAGACTTTACCGAAAAAGTGAAAAGACAAGCTACCGATAGGGAGAATATCTTTGGAAACCAAGTATCTGACAAGAATCCAATAATCAAAATACATATAAAAGTTCGACAATTTAACAACAAAAAGACAAAAAGCCTAATCATGAAATGAGCAAAGGACGTGAATAGACAATTCACCAAACAGGATATTCAAATGGACACCAAACACCTGAGAAGATGCTCAGTGTCATTAGCCATCAGAGAGATGTGAATCAAAACCACAAGAGATACCATTTCACTCCCACTAGGAAGGCTAAAAAAAAAAAAAAACCCAGAAAATAAGAAACGTCGGCAAGGATGTGAGAAAACTGGAACTCCTTATCTATTGCTGGTGGGAATGCAAAATGCACAGTTGTGGTGGAGAACAGGGTGGCAGTTCCTCAAACAACTAAAACTTGAACTACCATATGACCCAGTAATTCCACTCCTAGGTATATATCCACGAGACTTGAAAGCAGACTCAGAGACTTGTACCCCCGTGTTCACTGCAGCACTACTCACAATCGCCAAAAGATGGATGCCGTGCAACGGATCGCTTTTGTGTGGACTTTCTTGCCATGGTCTTGTAACTCCCACCCAAGTGACTGGATGAGACTGTGCGAATACAGTCATTGTGGCCCACCAACGGGATCGGTCAGGTTGACCATCCCATTAGGCTTGACCTGGGCCACCCCAGAGGTGGGAAAGACAGGATCTCACCACCATCGAGGAAGAAGAGCCAAGAGTGGAGCATGTCCTTTGAACCTGGGATCCCTGCACTGTAGAAGTCCCTGGAACCAGCAGAGAAAGAGAAAAAAAAAAAAAGAAGACGAGAGAGTGCGGTAACATTGATAATGGTGAGAAATGGCAGCAGCAGAACCAGGAGACTGGTAGCAGACCAGCAGGAGACAGTGTGGTGGGCTGGGAAGCTGGAGCAAGAAAGCTGAGTGCTTCAGGCAGGAGGCTTCCTGAAGGAGTAGAGTGCCTCTGGGCACTTGGTGGAGCTAGGTTTGCCAACCCACGGAGCTAGAGCTGAGCGTCTTTGGGCTGAGGCTTACTGGTGGAGTGGGGTGCCTCTGGGCACTTATTGGCAGAGCTAAAAGAGCTTTGTAACACTTGCCCAGCAGGGCAGAGGCCAGGCCGAGGGGCCGAGAGCCAGAGGCAGACCTGCCTGTCGCACAGCTGAGATGTCCTGAGTGAAGAACTGTATCCTGAACATTCCTGAACCTGTACTGTAACCTGTTACTTCCCTAATAAACCCCATAATTGTGAGTATTGTCCATGAGTTCTGTGTGGCCATTGCAATGAATTATCAAATTCAGCAGAGAAGTAGAGTGTGCTCTGGGAGGGACAGTTGGTGTCAGAATTGGTAAAGATGAAGGAGAAAGGAGGCACGCCTGACCGCCGCCTCACAGGAATCAGCCTTGGCCTGTTGATCTTGATTCTCCTCCCCGCTTAGGAAGTTAGAGAAGGTCAGACACTGTGCCATGTCATTTTTACAGTGGAAACAACCTAAATGCCCATCAACAGATGCGTGGATAAACAAAATGTGGTACATACACACAATGGAATACCACTCAGCCAGCAGGAGAAATGAAGTCTTGATACATATGCTACAATACGGAGCTGGAAGACATTATGCTGAGTGAAATAAGTCAATTACCAAAGGACAAATATTGTATGACCTCATTTATATAAAAAGAAAAGGCAAATGTACAGACAACAAAGTTTATTAGTGGTTACCAGGGGCGGGAGGGAGGGGGAAAGAGGGGTTAACAGTGATGGAAATATCCCATTAAGGGTAGGGTTACACAGCTGATTATTGTAATTGCTGTCAGTAAGCTGTACACCTGTAAAAAGTTGAACTGGTAAAAGTTGTGTGATAGATATACTTACAACTATGACAAAAAAAGAAAGAAAGAAAAGAGTAGCTGCTGAGGGCTGCTTATGAACAACCGAACACCTCATGGGATTGGGTTTCTTCGTTTGGAGGCTTAGGGTCATGGTTTCATGGGACATCCCTTGTGTTCTACCTCCTACTTTGATGTGTACTGACTGGGATCTTGAAAGCTTGCAAGCGGCCATCCAAGGCACAACAATTAGTCTCTATCTGCCTGGAACAAGAGAGGAAAAAGGAGACTCAGGAATAGGAAAAGAATGTGGAATGTGTAGCTAATTGCCTCCATGAACAACTGACTTCTTTGTCATGAGACCAGAAGAACTGGATGCTGCCCGGCTACTATTACTGAACATTTTGAACAAAGATTCCACAGAAGGGGTAGGGGAAAAATACAGGACAGAATTTCAAATTCTCATGGACTCTGACTTTCTGGAGCCATGAAGGTTGGATGAATCCCTGAAACTACGGCCCTGAGATCATCTGTAAACCTTAAACCAAAAATACCCCTGGAAGTCTTCTTCAAACCAAACAACAGTTTA